ATAAGTGTATCACAAAGACCAACTTTTAGAAACAATAATAACAAACTACCCTCGGTGATAGACTCCTTATGTTTTTATATATCACTTGTGTAACTTTTTTTTTCTATTATCATTAGAGAAAGTGGTTTAGAGTCTGTGAATGCTGGCTGTTCTTTTGGTTTTTCGTTGTCTGTTTTGAATGTAGAATCCAGAAGGCAATACATTTCTGTACACCTCTATAAAGTACTTCCACATGCAGCTGGTGATAGTACACATCGTCAGCAGTTGCACTAAAAAGCTTTGAGGTTGCTTGATGAAAAAGTTTCACCATCAAAGCAATAGTGTAAGATAATTGAAGTGGTCTGAAACATCTTTTGAGTAAAACCCATCAAGTGCTTCTCTGTAGAGTTTTGTTCTTGTCCCACCTTGACTTCCAGAACATGTGACTGCTCCCTTTCTTTTTTCACCTTGCATTTCAAGATGTTTAATTTGTATTTTGTGAAAGTATGTGAATTGTTTTGCATATAAATGAAATTAGGATAAGCAGTTTCCTTACTGCAATAGCTTCTCCCATCCTCAAGATCTCCAAAGCATCCTCAAGCGAGTTCTGCAGAGCATTACCTGCTTTTAAATAAACAGTTTGAAGTAGGAAGGTAGCAATGAGAAAAGCAACATCACTGCTGATAACTCTTCTATATTTCTAACAGTAAGATGAATTATACTTCTAGTCACACAGGTTTCTAAGGTTGCATTTTTCTGATTTCTACCCGGAATCTCCCTCTGTATTAACCAGAGTTCTTAAGGTCATCATTGCCTTTCTGTGTTGCTTCTCATGCACCTCGTACTGGAGTGCACAGCTTAAAAGCTGTGGAGCTTGTGAGTATCTGCAATATTTAACACTCAAATTAGGAACCTCTGCAACTAAGTAGAGGCCATGCGCTGCGGAGGTGCCATCTAGTGGAGTGACGACATCTGCGTGGCTGTTGCTGCCTATTGCTAATAGAGAGAACACATTAATTTGTTATTTATATTAGAATAACATGGTATCAGCAGTTTTGTTTTCAAATTAATACTCAGTTCCAGAAGGAAGACACAGTCGGGATCCATAGAATAAACACCAGGCATTTTACCGCTGTTCTCCCACATTTCCCTAGCTGTATAAGAAATACCAGTTTTTTTCTTCATGTTTTGGAAACTAGCTTAAGTTTACGTAGTTCTCTAGTAATTATACTGTGAGTTCCATCTAACAAAAAGCCCTCCAAGCTTCAACAGGTTTTTGTCTGCCTTTGGTGGTAGCTTTAAGAATTCTGAACTGACAAGAAATAGTATCAGAGAGGTGCCCTTACTTATATTTTAAAATATCAGGGATTACTTTAGGATTTTTTTGTTTGTTTGCATAGAAAGTAATTAAGTTACTAAGCTTAAGCCAGATTTAATCAAACTCTTTTCTCTTTCTAGTGTTAATGTTAGTGTTACCAATATGCAGAAACTCATTTCACTTAACTACCAAGTTGATCTGACTGCTTAGACATATTGACTTGAGGCAGAATAAAACCTACTTTATGCAACATTACACAAGGTCAAAAAGAAAAGCATTTAATTGAACAGATGTATGCAAATAAATCTTAAGTAAAGAAGCATTGTTTTCACTCTGGATATGGGCTGATAGAGTTCAATTATTTTGCAGACTGGAATCTGCGTGGATTAATCAAACCTATCTTCAGTATTCTGGGATTTGATCACAGGCTGGCCTCCTCTGGTAAGCTGAACTTAATTATTTTGAGAACAAAGCAGCTATGGCACAATATAGGACCTTACATTACACATTTAAGATACAAACAAGTGGAGTTAATGACTAGTCTGCATCTTAAAGAGAAGCATTTTGAATAATAAATCTGTATCCTTTGTTGTCCACTTCCTTTGCTGTTTTCTTCACTTCTCTACCATTTTTCCCCCTGTTTTGTTTGATGTTGGCATGCCCCTTTGGAATAGGCATTTTTTTCTTGTTTTGATTTAGACTTAGTTAACTAGAGACCCAAGCTCTATCACTTGTGTGTGGGTTTGTTGTTTTTTTCCCCTCCAAAACCACGTTCAGAAGTCAGGTACTGAAGATTGGTTTGGGGTATTTATTAGCAAAAATCAGATCTTTAACACTGGCAACAGCAGACTTATTTCGTGAGCCAGAAGCATCAGACCATTTAGGTTAATAGGTACAAGGAATCAGTTCTTGTCCATACAGCCATCACTGGACATCAGCATGCATAGTCTCCTGTATATAGCTGTCTCTCCACACAGGAACCAGTACGCATATTCAAGCTCTCTTGAAGACTTGTTTACATACTTGATTCTCACAACGAAGCTCCTATCAGAAAGAAAAAAAGACCAAGAGTATAGATCTATGTAGTAATCAAAGGAACTGCTTCTAAACATGAACACAGATCCTTTGCCGTGCCTACTGACCACCACTCTGCTGCCAGGCTAAGAAGTTATGCTTAACATTCTGAATTGAACTATACAAGACAATGAAGGTGTTCCAACTAAACTAAAAATCAAAGCAGAACATGCCCTGTTTACCATCCATTACAAATACTACAGAGCTAGAAGACAACTTGCGCACACCATGATGACATTACAGAGCTTATTTTTGTCATATAAAGACAGAATCAGTAGAAATCTGAAGTAGATACCAAATGGAGGTCATCTCCTTCAAGCCAGTGAGTCCAGCCCCTGTTCTTCTTCTCACCAGTCTGGACACAGACAAGTTTGTCATTTTCCCAGGTAACTAGGCTCTGTGGAAAAGGAGAAAAAAAAAAGTGTTTCTCTATATCTTTGCCTACAAGAGTATTGCAGAACTGAGATAATGTCCTTTCTTCCTGGATAAAAGGGGACCTATATACTACTCCTGAGGGAAAGTGAAACTCCTTGCCTGTAACTCAGGCTTCTACCTCTGGGCTGTATTACAAACAGTATACTTGGAACAATTTCATCTGAAGCAGTTACACTGACCTCTTGTTCACAGGCTCTTGATTTCACATATTCAGTCTTACCTTGCATTTTCTGTTATCCAGGCCTTTATTATCTTCGTCAAACTCTTCTCCAATTTTGAATTGAAGCAAGTAATCTCTGAACGTGCTAGTGGTATGGATATAAAATGAATCACCGTCTTGTTTGATCACTTTCTGAGGCTTCAGCACTTTCGCTATCTTGCGTGTTGCAAAGTCAATACCTTGGACAGGAGGCAAAAAGGTCAGAGTTGTATTTTTCACGAGCCATTTTGACAGCCAGGACTTACCTTTCTTACTACTAGAAGCATTTCTTAGATAGTTTGACCTTACTGATATGCAAGGTTTTGTTTGTTTGGCTTTTTGTGGGTTTTTGTTTAAAGCTGTATGTTGCACAGATCAAGTCATGTTCTTGTGCAACAATTGAGTAAACTGGTTTCCAAAGAGAAAACACACAATTCCTATGCAAGATTTCTAGGACTTGGAGTCAGAAGAGTCCTTTTAGAAGTCAGGGAGAGTTGGTTTTCCCCCACATAGACATCCCAGGCTTGGTCTCAAGACTTAACCCCTGCTTAGCTAGAAGGAATAGTTAATACCTATTCTCTTCCCCTGTCAGAGGATAGGCATTATGTGAATTAACAAGAAATCTTTGCACCTTATACCTTAAATAGGGCAAAATGAAGGGCACTCCTAACATGAATTACTCGGGCTTGTTTTCAGGACATGCCACTTGCTATTAGGACTTTTTAAGTGCAAATAGGAAACATAACACTTGTCAAAGGATTTCCTGGTTATCTGTAATGATCAGTCACCTTTACCAGAATCCCAATGTTCTTGGTAATACTGAGCTTAAAACAGATTTCTAGTTTTTTTTTCTCTCTCCAGTGAATGTTTGTTTCTTAGAGGAACAGGCCATCTATTTGGCAGGTAACTAAGTTACATTGCATCCCAATAGCATGCTCCAAGTTGGATTTTCAGGAAGGGGAATGGCCAAAATAGGGGACTGTGTGTTAATTTAGTAGTTTTCATTACTTAGATTAAAAGCATCATTTGACAGGACCACGAGCTGTTTCTCACTTCATGCGGGCTGGGGTTGTGATCTTCTTGAAGGAGTGTGTTCAGATGCCATGTGTTGGACCATATGGCTCGTTTTGCAGCCTGTGTTTGAAGTGGGACTTCATTACTCTGTGCATTACAGAAGTGCTAGAATCTGTCAGTCGTGTTTTCTCATGGTTACAAGTTTATTTTAGCACAGAGGGGTTTGACTTCAGTACTGGCAACAGCCGTACCTGTTAAGCCTTAGCATAGTTATAAGAATGTATAAGTTACTTACAAATCCATTCTTTAGAGGGAGGTGGTTAATTAAAGGGGAGGCTAGGCTTGAGTAGCCATGCCCTTACCTCTAACCCTCTAGTTACTTAGCTGATCAGATGTTAGCCTCTTCCCTCTACTTGCTCTGGCAGAAAAGTTTTTCATTCTAGCTCTACTATATTGATTTCAGTCCTAGTTTTGTTCAGCATGCTGGCAACCAAGCAGGAGTAACTAAAGATAGGTTGTAAATCATCAACAGGATTCTTTGTCTTCATAAGTAAGTTCCTCAATTGCATGCTGAAAACAAACTGCATTTTTCACGAGATTGGTAGTTACATTTCATTTTTAAAAAGCCCTTTACTTAGCTAGACAATGTCTACTATCAAGGAACAGACCAAATTTCTATTCCATTTGAAGACATTAACACACTAAGAGTATGTTAGTATTCAAACTGAGGAATAAATTCTTATTATGGGAATACTTCTTTCGTTTTTTTTCTAATTGATAACACAACAGGATTAGAAACAGAGGAGAGTCCTTTCACCATGTCAAAGATCCCAAGTAGACAATTTAAGTAGCTCACCCAGCATAGATACAGCCAGAAAACAGATTTGGTTCTAGTTGTGTACACAGTAGCCAACAAGGGACACTAGTGGTCATCAGTTTACACAAGTCAAAAAGGCAGAAAGGGCTGGGAGAGGCAGGGGGAAGAGAGCTGTGGCAGTCTGTAAGGAGCTTTGTACAGGAAAGCTAAGAAAGCACTGAGAACTTCCTTATTTCCCCATTAAAGCACTGTTAATCTCTCTCTAAAAGATCTAGGTAAGAGATTAGCTTCCAGCACTCCAGAAAAGGGACGGAGAAACTTATCAACAAGTCATAGTAATGAGAAAAGTATTTTGTAAACCGTTTAAAGATAAATGACACCAAGCTAAACAACTGCCTGGAAGTGGCAAATACCCAAGCCCTTTTTTTTTACTTAACATTTAATTAACCCTACAGAACCTAGCAGACATAGGTTCTCTAAGTTTGTGCTCAAAAAGCAGGAGAAATTGAGTGAACAGGGCACACTCTTACCTGTCTCTATAAAAAAAAAAATAAATCTGTTTTTAACAAGTACTAGGCTGAGAAATTCCTGAAAGCTGCAAGGACAATTGGGTGGCAGGCTACTCTGTTTATTAAGAAACAGAGATCCTTCCATTGTTTTTCAGAGAAACAAAAGCTTCAGCAATATCTAGTTTATAGAAGAACTCAGACTCCTAAAACTCAGGAGGATCCTTATAGGGGCAGGGAAGAAGGATAGAATTAGGTATTTTCACCTACCTAAGGCCACCATATAACCTTCAAAGTTGTCATTGCTGATAAGGTTCCAGGTTCCACTGAAATCCACAGGCATTGCCAGACTGTGGAAAAGACACAGTTAACCTCTGACCAAAAAGCCAAAATGAAGAAGTAGTTTTCCAACCAGGCCTTATATAAGGAAGACTGTGGGTGGGATTATGTCCCAGAGCCTTTCTGATGGAGGGCAAGGGTCCTATTGCTGAGCCAATAGGTGAGAGGGTATTTGTAGATGAGCTTCAGCTGCACTGGAGGGAAAAGTTCAGTTTCTGAAATCTTTGTGTGGAGCAAATGTTAATAGCACAGGAGTCACAATGCAAACAAAAAACTGGTTTAAACCATATGTGTCCATCTTGTATGCTTTAAAGGAAATAAGGGATGGATTTTGTCATTACTAAAATTCCCTGCATGTATGTTAGATCTGTGGCTTTATGATCTGAAATCTACATATTCATAGTAGTAGGCAGCATCGTTGTCCAGTGCTTATAACAGAGAAGTGAAAGACAAATCTCGTTGGTATATGTTATTTTCTGATGTGACTCTCAACATAGCTCTGCTGTGCCTCAGTTTACCTACTTATGTTCTGGTTTCTTTAATGCTGTTAGTTATATCCTAGTTAAATGAACATACATATACAGAATTCTTCATTTTCTCAGATCCCTTACCAGCCAGAAAATTTATGTAACAGTTAGGTATGAGACAGCAGATCTAGAGACCTGAGCACAGGATGCAGTAGGTAACCTTCAATGTTGGACTTTATCTTGAGCAAAGAAGTGAAAGAAATCTCTTAAGTGATGACCCAGCAATGTGTTTTGAAAAGTGAATCAAGAATGCTTGACTTCAAAGAGAAAGGACATAGGAGGAGTTTGGAAGTGAGATTTTCTTTCCTTTAGAAGATACATAATTCTCCAGTCTCTTGCAGTTCCTCCATCTGTGGTTACTTTTTGCAAACTGTATGCTTTATTGTTACAATTTACCAAGTGAGAAATAAGAATTTAATAATCCTGAAAAACTGGGCACTCCGGAGTTGCTAGATACAGGAGAGCTAGATAACTTTGTACCTTAGTTTCCTCATCGGTAAAATGGGGAAAACAATCATTCCCAAAGTCACACGTATGTTTTGAGCATTAGCTTAATCCCACATTTTAAGTGGTCCGATGGGACAGTAATGAGCACCACAATGGAAGCTATGTTAAAAGAAAAACCCAAAATGATGGGCAAGGGAAATCTCAGGTGTTGCTCCCATAGTAAAAGGGGAATTTGGTATTCTGAATCTTGAGTGAGGAAGCTCTCCTATAGCTTCTACATTTATTTGTTTACTGACTCAGGTTAGGCTGAATAAAAAGATAATATTTTGCAGAGAAAATTCAGTTTCCCTGAACTTTGGCTACATTTTTGGGGCTGACAGTTTGACCCATATGACTCACAGAATCATGCCAGTGGGAAATTAAGACGTCAAATCTTGTTTCCTGTTTGCAGATGGATATTGTTCTCTAGCTATACTAAACTAGGAAAGGCACAAAGAAATGCAAATTAATGTTTCCCCTGGACTCAAATAGCAACATTTCACCCATAATTTGTTATTATGGGGCTATGGTAATAAAGCATTGTTGCGATACTGCTGACTTCTTCCAAGACAAGTCAGTACCTGGATAAATCCTGTGTAAAAGCCTGGATATAACATCTCAATTGAAAATTGAGATTATGCAGATTGTCAGGGATGTGGTGCTTCTTCCTGTAAATCAGTACTTCTCAAACTAAGGTTTATAGAGGGTACTACAGTTACTATTTCAAGGCTCAGCCAAATCATTGCCCATGGAACTTGCAGTAAAAACTGCCAAGTGCCCTGGCTGCATCCTGTGATGGTTCATTTCTTTCTCCCTTACGAACTCCCAATTTTCTTTTTGTGGAAGGAATTTTTTTCCATTCCCTTTGTAATGGCTGTGCAGCATTGAGCATCTTACACATTCCATTGAGGATGTGGCCTCATTACAGAACTAGATAAAGTGGTTCCTGCTGCTGTTGCAGTATTTATAAAATATTTTGAGTTTGAATTACACATGTGGTGTAAGTGCTGTGTGTTCTTTTAATAGAGCAGAACCAAATGCAGTGATGTAAAAAAAAGCCTCATTTTCGTTTGTAGAACAAATATTGTAACTCTTCTACAAACAAGTTGAGTGAACTGCATTATTCACAAACCTTACATTTTCAAGTATACAGAATCTCTTTTAGACCTAGTCTACTCTTGAAAGTTGTACTTGTTTAACATTTTTGAATATGCCACATCACTGACTGTGATGCTGATACCTACAACTGACTGGAACAATAGATTGTCAGTGTCTGGTTACTTCTAGTGTTGTAACAGTCAGGGTTCTGGATCCCACTAGTAAAACAAAAGATCCATATGCAGCAGTCAGTGTAATTTTTGAACTATGTTGTGGTTTTTATAGACAAAACTGTACTGACATCATTGTACCTACTTAAAAATCATGCAGTCATCAGACATCAGATTTGGTTAATAACAGGATGACCAAAATTAGCATATTACATGCAATTTATTTTATTGAAAGACCTATCACACATAACTAGATTAAAACCCAATGAAATACAACTGTGTGAAGACCAAACCTTTATAAAACACCCCACTGAATTTGCAGTTTCTCTAGAATTACACAAATTGCACCAAGACATCCCAGCATCATTTATATTTCAAAGAATAAACCTAAAGTGCAGCTTTACTCTGAAAGGTGACCACATAAATAGGGTGCTTTCCCATTAGAAAGATCTGCTCTGTTTATTCAGAAGCACGCTGGTTGACTTGAGTACTGAAAAGAAATCTTTCTTGCCCTCTCTTCTTGTCAGTCATAAAGACAGACAGCAGCCAAAAGAGAAAAGCAGATCTCGTCCTTTCCTGTGCCCCATCAATACTTTGGTTACCTTCAATCCGTTAGGGCAGTTTGACTGCCAAGGTGTCACGGGGGCAAATTTATCCATCGCTGCTACTGACGACAAGCGAACCCAGCCTTGTTATCAAAGGACAGTGTCAGTTTGCCTGGCCTCTAGGGGAAAAAAATGGCAGACTGAGCACATTTGATGCAGGAATCACCAAGAAAAAGACCTAAGAGCCTTTGATGATACGTTCTGTCACAGTGCAGTTACAGCTGCACTTCTGACTTGATTTTATTACACTAAGCTCCTTGTAGATTCTCTGTAGACAGCCACTTTTACAGGCTGGAGCTAGCAGAACACAGATGTTCTTCTAATGTACGCCAATTGCAGAATTTCGCGTGGGGCTCCAAGCTAGCATGCCCAATGCTAGCTCCACTGCAGGTTACAGCTTTTCCTGATAGTGCTCAACTCCCCTGCTGGGTTTTAGACAAGCCTTGCAGGCCCCAGGGCCACTTGTGATGTTCTGTGTTTGGCTTCTGGCTTCCAGACTCCCCCTAAGCTCCCAGGGAAGCCTACACTTCTGCCTCAGCTCTTTGGGGATCCTCTGCCCAGGGACGGAGGATGATGGGTTGTCACAGTTATGGCCCTGGAACGTGTCCCTGATTCTAGACTTGCCCGACAGCATCTAGGCTTCCTGCCCTCAGAGTCTCACGTTCTGCTGGATTTGTTGATCTGAATAATGTGAGCAGAGTCATCTTGTGGACATTGTATGAAAAAGCTGTTGATTCATTAGGGAGCATCTTGGAAACCTTGACATTTTAAATAAGGCACATAATACAAACAAAAATGGGATGATGGCAAATAAAGGGAGGTAGAATTCTATCACCATGACATTCACAGTGCCTCTCTAGTTTACAGCCAATATACTGTTAGATTCAAAACCAGATTTCTAGCAAAGAGAAACACTTCTGTACAGTCTTACTATCCTCCATTTCATCTCAATTCCAGTTACAGAAAAAAATTCTGCCTATATACATTTGGCTCAAAAGTAAAAGCTCATTTATTATTTGAAATAAAGCGACAGCTGTCTAAGAATCAGTGCAACAACACTATTATTAATTTCTATCCATTAAATCAATGGCTATAAACCAGTTTCTGAAGTAGGTCTGTGCTTTTATCAGAAACAGTGCTGAGCTTAAGGTACAGCTCTGGAAACAACAATGGAAAAGTAAAGCACAAGGTAGTCCTGGGAGCAAACTGGCTCAATATTTGAAAAGCGAGCAACTCAAAGCACGGTATATCCAGCACCACTTCAGCTAGAAGGAAATTTTTCCCTTCCAGGATAGAGCTAAATAATTTCTTTGAGGTGCACCACATGTTGGCAATTTTTTAAAAAAACGAGTTACATAGATTTACTATCAGTAAGTGGAACATTTTGAAATTAAATGGCTTTGTTAAGACACGGTAAGTTATTAAAAATATTTGTGTTAGTATTTTATAAATAGCAGTCAGAGCAGTCTGAGTTAAAACTCATCAGAATGTTTTCATTTGTTTTGTTTGTTAATTTCTAATTCTCATATGCAAGTGTGAATTCTTATACTTAGTGACAAAATGTTTAAACGTGAAAATCTTATTACTGGATTTAAAAAGGATTGTGTAGGTCCAAGTATTGAGTGCACCAAACCTCAACAGCAACTACATACGTACTAAAGCCACAGAACGAGCCCACTATTGACTTGAAAAAAAAAAACCAAACAAAAAAACCCAACCCCCCAAAAGCACAATTTCCTGTCCTGAACTGTGGCTTTTTTCACAGCAGAAAGTCAGTGAGTTGTACAGCGCCTGTTAGTTCTTGGAATCACTGGCATGTTTCTGTAAGGGAGCCAAGACAACCCCAGCATTCCTGTCCTCGCTCTCCGGACTATACAGATTATTTTTTTCTATGTATGCTTGCACTACATCAGGCACGAGGTACCGAATGCTCTGGCCCCTCCGCAGTGCTCTCCTGATCTTGGTGGAAGAAATGTCATTTGTGATCCATTCTTCCACAAGGTGAATGTTATTCTTATGTCTCCATAAAACATCAGATTCATAGATGAATTTCTGAACACTGTTTCCGGCCCTACTGATGCATACAAGGCCATGGTTTTCCACAATTTCAGTGATGTCCTCCAACTTCCACAGATTGGGGATCCCAAAAGACTCCAGCATGTCACTTCCACAAAGCAGTTTAAC